ACTTTTGGTTCTATATTTTTTATTCACTCTGTATAGTTTTATTGTGTTTTATATTCTTCTATTTTTCTGTTGTTTCATTTATTTATTACTCCATATCTTTTGCACTATTTTTGAAGCAAAAAATGTAGAAACAAAGTGATGAATTTTTTGTGTTTTTTATACAGGGTGTTAAAAAAAGATTGTAAAATTTTTAATGAGATAATAGTATGGACTAAAACAAACAAAAAATTCTTAATAAACATGTAACGGTTTCGAAGATATCGAATGTGAAAATTTTAGAACTTTTACTAAAATATTGCAAATAAATGTTATAAAACGAATAATTTTTGGTATCTTCTAAACCGTTACTTTGCGGATCCATGTTTATTAAGTCTTTTTTGATTGTTTTGATCTATTCTAATATCTCCTAAAATATTTTACATTCTTTTTTTTAACACCCTGTATAAATTTTTACGTTGAAATTGTAAAGAAATGTTATTTCTTTTTTTAACTATTTGATGTAATAAATTCTGATATTGTATACAGCGTGTTGAGAAAGTGAAAAAGTTGGGTAAATCCGGGAAAACCTCCAGAAAAATTATGACTTTTATTTTAAACATTTTTTTGTTATGAGAGATTGAGTCCTAGAAGTGCTTCGAATTTTTTTTTTTTGTTGGAACAGGCTACAAATAAATGTTTCAAAAAATTAATAATCTTCGATATCTCCGAAACATTGTTTATTAAAACTTTTTTGTTTGTTTTAGTCCATATTACTTCCTGAAATACTTTACAGTCTTTTTTTAACACCCGAATCAACTTTTTTGAACTTTCATTTAAGGAATAGAAATTTTAGTAGTTCAATTTCTCAAATTTTCTGATGTGTTTCAAATACCCGAAAAAACATAAAATACATTTCCTCTTATCTAAATTTAGGTAAAGAAAAGAAACTAAGCACAAAATGCATTTCAGGGCTCATTCTTTTACACTAAATTAATACATAATTAAAGTGATGGAAAAAGAGGTTTTATGTTGTAAATTTTCCAAATAAATTATCAATAGTAATATCCCGAGTGCATGTCAAATTGTGCGTTAATTATTTTAGAATTAGATTATTTCCTGAACAAAATAGTATATTGAAGAAGGCAAGTTTTGTAAAACGAGTTCAGGTTTTATAAAGAACGCGTTTTCTATTCTAATTTTTCAAAATTTAAGAACTCTTGCTCTAATAAGATTGTATCTAGTTGATAAAATCACCATTACCAACCTCTAGAAAGTCTGTACTAGTCAATTTCAGCACTAAAAAAAAATTTCACCATTAAAAAAGAGGTTTCTTTCTTCTTCATTATGAAAATACAATAATTTGGCCCACTGTCGAGGTCAATAGCTCTCACTCGTAGAGTCGCATAGTTAATTTTCCCCCCGACTTCAGCCCTGATTGAAAACTCCACCCTCACCAACTCGCTCACTTCGCGCCAAATCCTGCAAGTGTTATTCGACATTGAGCAAAGCCTAAAATGGGATTTGATGAACGACCGCCTCCTCGAGAAGTTCCTCGACATGTACTACCGCAGTTTAACACCCGAGGACCACCACGAGTACAACTACGAGTCGCTCGAGAAGGGCCTCGAGACGTGTCTAAGGGCCATGTGTGCCCACTTCGGGGAAAAACACTTGATGCTCATGGTAATCCAATCAAAATCGCTGTGAAACTCCCCCTAACCAACTGGTTTAGATCAGATGGATGCTGGATGTGACAAGTTCGGAGAAAATCTCCGACGAGAATCTACTAAATTTCGGCAGCTTGCTCGAACACGTCACCACATTGTACACCTCCAAGAGCTTGAATCGAAACTTGCCCGAACAAGTCTTCCCTTTCATTTTCAAACTGATTGCGTCGAAAAACCTCCTCTATAGTCTTCTCGGAAACCGCGTTTTGCACAACTTGATCGATCGCTGCCACAACAAGCTGAAATTCGACACGCCGAGGATTTTTTTCAGGAATTCGCACTACAATATCACGCTGAATAACTACAACTCGACTGATAAGCTGCTTTTTCAGCGGTATCGCGAGCTGTTACACAAGACTTTCGTCGAGTCGGTTATCAGACACGGCGTGCACAAGTATGTGATTAACTGATTAACCCCCACACATATACAGGGTGGCCCAGCGAATTAAATAGTCCATTAACTTTTAAATAGTGAAATTAAAAAAAAATGTATAGGACATTAATAGAAACTACTACTAGTTTATTTATAATCCGGTCAAAATAAACATTTTAAATAACTAAAATTCCGACAGAGCTAAATTTTGGTGGAGATCTTGAGTACACCATTAGGAATAAAGTGTCAAAAGTCCCCATCGATCCCATGTGTGCTAAAAAAGTTATTCGGGGTCAAAGGTCGAAATTTGACGTTTTTTAGATTTTTTTCGAAAACGGTAAGTTTATCAAAAAAGTAGCCCAGACAAAAAATATAGATCTTGAAATTATCTACAAAATGGTCCTTATACTTTTTTTCTAACGATCACCATTCCTGAGATATCGCGATTCTAAAAGTTGAAGGAGTCACGTTCTACATGGTATGCACATACAGAGTGTGTCAGAACTCCCGCTTCAAAGACAAATGCCATGTAGGTTAAGGTACCACAAACATAGAAAAAATTAAAAAAAAAATCTATCTATAAAAGTTTCAAAGTTATGAGAGTTTAAATTTTGCACTTTGACTCTATTTATTTCTGTAGGGAAAATAATTTTCCAAGTTTTTTTGCTACAGGCCATTAGAAGAAGAAACAAAAAAGCTGTGTCCTAAATTGTAACTCTGTTCAATGTTATTTGTGGCTTTTATTGGCAAAACTTTTGTACCTTTACTAGATAATTGTAAAAAAACATATACAAAATCARCAGTATTATTAAATAGACATAAAAAATAGTCAAATGTCAAAAAACAAATGTCAAATTTTTTTGACAGATAGAATTTTTTAAACATTTTTTTTATGTTCCTGGTATCTTATTTTATTTGAAATTTTTCTTCTACTTCATTAAACTTATAAATATCTCGATTCCATTAGAATTAAAAAGAATTTATTTGGTAATACATACAGGCTGTTAAAAAAATCGCGCATTTCCTTGAAAGGGAGTAATTGGGTAGTCCCCAGAGTACTGAAAAAATGTTTAAAAAATTCTATCTGTCAAAAAATTTTGKCATTTATTTTTTGACATTTGTCATTTTTTTATGTCTATTTAATAATACTGATGACCTTGTATATGTTTTTTTATAATTATTTGATAAAGGTACAAAAATTTTGTCAATAAAAGCTACAAATAACATTAAACAGAGTTACAACTTAGGATACAGC